CGGCGCACGGGCGCGGGGTGTCGGCGCAGACGACTGCGGGGCGGGCGTCGGGGACAGCAGCGAGAGGAGCGTCGACGACACCGAGGCGCTCCGCCCGCGCGTGCCCCGCCCCGGATGGCCGGCGGGGGCGTGCTGCCCGAGCCCGGGCGGCTGCGAGCCCAGCAGCGGCGTCATGCTCCCCCCGCCAACAACTTGCCGTTTCAGCAATTGGGAGCGGACACTGTGCAGGACGCGTGCCTGCTCGGGCGTGGTCGACGCCCCCGGGGGCGGAGTGAGCGACAGCACACCGACAAGCTGGGCGTAAGAGTAAAGGATCAGCTCAGTATTAGGAATGGTGAAAGAGGAATTGAGGGCCGTGCGGGGAGGCGGCTTCGTGCCCGACGCAGGCGGGGGCCCGTGCCCAAGCTGTGGAGCGCGGCGAGCCGGAGCGCGGCCAACCGGAGGGTCGCTCAGAATTGCGATGGTGGGTATCTGGGTGCGGAAGGTAGACGCATCCGGGATGGGCGAAGGCAATGCTGGTGTCATCGGGGGTATGGTGGGCGATGAGCTGCTTTCGGATATCGTGTCTAGGGAAAGCGAGTAGTTTGATGTTGAGGCACTGGGCAAGGGAGAGAACGGCGACGGCGTGGATGGTGGAGGGCGGAGGTCTTGCAGCTGCAGTTGGCCGTCCGCCACGGACTGCTTGCGCGCGTGCGGGTGGGTGGGTGCGATGGGAAGTATAGCGGATCGGGCAAGGGGAGAAGACACACGGGGCGATGTAGGGGCTAGCGGTAGCCAATGCTCGGTAGTCCGCAGTATGCAAGATATGCCGTTTACTCACATGCGTAAGGTTCATTAGCGCGTAAGAAGTGCAGCGAGGACTTGCCCTTCATGTTCTCCTGAGGTGGCGATTCGAGAGCGTGGTTGATGGATATCGAGAGCGATTTGGTCAGAGACCGCTTCAAGCTTGCTCCTTCCAGCCTCAAGGACCCTCCATCTCCGTTTGGGAGATGGTCCCTTCCTATGAGCCCTTTTCGTGCAGGCGAGCCACTGGGTCCTACATTTCGGATAGGAAGACTGGGAAGAGCAGAGCGAATCGTGCCAGGCGACGTCGGAGGTCGCGCAAGTGGTACAGAACTGATAGAGTGGGCACTGCGTTTATGCGAATGTGATGCAGAGTGTGACGCGGACCGCACGGGAGGGGCGTCCGGGCCTCGCGTGTTGGTGAAGGTGACGGTTATCGAGAAAGGTTCGCCAGCGAAATATGAGGCCTGAGAAGGAGAAATAACAACTTTAATGGCGTCTGCCATGCGTGCGTCGTTGTTGGTGCTAGTAGTAGTACAGAAACAACAACTGGTGTGAGTACAAGCGGCAGGCGAACCCGCGACGCCACCAGACCGTCAGGGCCACGGCCTTTCCCGTTCAGGAACAATCGGAACGCCCGTGTCGCGGGCTCCAGCAGGCTGAGGTTCACTTGCCCAGAAGTGAGAACTGCACTGGTTTCTACGATTTATACAGCCTGGCTGCAGCCCAGTACAAGCAGCTCCCCCACCCCTCTGCTGTCTCCTGATTCACGATGGCTGTCGTGGTGAACTTGAAATCTTCCGATGTGATCAACAGCTCCGAGTCAGCGTAGAATTTGATGCTGAGCTCGTCAGGAGACACCGCTCGCCATCTTGTCCAACAGTCGTTCCCTCAGCTGAACCAGCTTCATCTGCTCGTTTTGCGCGTGCTGCAGTTCATGCCGCGCCAGCTCGAGATTCTGCAGCGACTCAGCCCCAGCACAAACATAGCTGAAGCCAAGCACGCACGGGTGGCAGCCCTTGGAACGCCTTGACTCTGGCGCGCTTCTGAGCGAGCACTTTCTCCTTCTGCCTCAGTTCTTTGTGATACGCGGCAAGCTGCGTGAACGTCAAGGGTGGATCTTCCGGCATCTGAGCCTGAACGAGCCCGCGGTCAGCTACCAGGTCCGGCACTTGTCGTGAGTGGCCACTGTACCATGGTGGCGCGCAGCTCCTCCTGGTATTCTCTGGCCTTTGAAGAGAGAGCCGCTTTGCGCTTTTCCAGGGCAGCGATGCTGGACCCCGGGGGCGGCTCTGCTTCCATAGTGTCTAACCATCTAGAGAATTTATATATGGCACAACCCACGCGGTGGATAACGGTCATGGCTTACTGGCTGACAAGTGCTTCTTCGTGCTTCATAGAAGCCAGGTGCATCATGAGTTCATCTTCGGCTGCATGTAGTCTCAGTTCTGAGCGTTTCACGGCAATCTCCTCCGCAGAGAGACGTGAAATAGCGGAAGCAAAGCTGACCATTCAAATGTCAGCATTTTCCCGGAACCAAACTCGCTTCTTGGATTTATATGAGAAATGACGCACCTCGAGAACGAGGGGTCGTCAATGCCCAGCACCTCTGCGACGTCCGTCAATCTCTCCAGGTACTCTTCTCCTGCTTCATCCTTTAACGGCTGGATGAAGGTCTCGATGCTCCCAAATATTTGTGCTGGAATGCACACAACGTGTTGGGACATTCAAACAATTTGCTGTTCATGGCTTACCTTGCTGATCATACGGGGACAAATTTTGTGTTTGCAAAAAAGTTGAAGACGCAGCTTTACCTATTGAAATCGATTCCCTCCATAGGTTGTATTGAGACAACACTGCTCCTACTCACTGATATCTCTATCTTCCGACATCACAGAGGACGATGTGGATCCAAGCCCTGCTAGTGTGAGTCAATTACAATTGTGGGCCATGCGGCGTCATGGAGTTGTGGCACGTTGGTCCTGCAAAGTGGCGCGTCGCATGCGAACATACTTATCGAGATCGAGTTCAGAGATTGCGCCGATCGTGACTGGGCCGCTTGCAGTGTGCACATATATACATCAGATCACGAGCACTACAGGTAGACATTCCCGCCTACTCATACCACGCGTAGACGAGACAGTAATCATGCAAAGGTTATCCCAATGGCATTCAATTTGATGTTTTACACTAACCGTATACAAAATAAGGACGATGCAAGTGCGAAAGCGAACGCGATATATTAACCCATGGGTGCGAAACCCGCATAGGCGTCAGAGTCACACAACATGCTACCGCAAGACGGCAGCGATCAGAGTCGACGCTTGCGCTGTCTTGATGCCGAGTCCTGCGATGGAGCTCTACGAAAGCAGCGTTCAAAAATGGCCGAGAAGAACATGCAAGAAACACACACTTCCGATTCTTTCCCTTCGTGCCCTCAGTGGGCTCATCCACATCCATGCTATCTTTGTCCTTCTCATCTTGATCTTGGTCCTGCTCCCTATCTTTCTCCTTCTCCTTCTCCTCCCGTTCCCTTCTTTCTCGCTCCCTCTCACGATCCCTTTCAGCAATTCCTGCTGGTGTCAAATTGGTGCGGCCAGTGGTAGCAGTTGTTCGGGCAGTCGCCTTGACCTCCTTCTGCTTATCGAGAACTTCTTTCAGGTTAGTCTGGTAGACTTGGTCATACGCCTCCCGCTTCGTCTTCTGTGCCGCAACTTCCCTTGAAAGCGTGGCCAATTTGTCATCGAGCGTAGAAAGGACAGCTGACGATGTCGATGCCCTGTTTTGCCGATTTCATAAGCGCGAATACACGACAGATATCCAAGCTACGCACCAATTTTGCAAACTGGCAAGCAGCTGCTCTATCTTTCCCGGCTCCAGATCCCTTCCCATCGTGAACTCCACGTCAAATTGTTGTTCTTTCTGGTCAAGTTTGCCGCGAATGACGTCGAGATAGATAGCATCGATGATGAGATCCTCCAGCTCGCGAATACCAGGCATTTGGAGAGTATCGAGGAGCTGCGAGTAGGGCAGAATCTGACAAACGAGTCAGATTAGGTACCCTGGACGCAGTATACAGTGCATATACCCGGCTCTCCATTGCGAGCGAGACCAAAGTCAAATGCTTCAGCTTGATCGTCTGGGCATCATTTAACGCAGGTAGTGCATCTCTGTGTTCTACCCCCTAGCCGTCAAGTCCAGTGCAGGGCTGCTATTAGGGAAACGGACTCAACGGAGGTAGTCTGGGAATGTCTTGTAGGCAAACAGCTGCAACAGGGAAAAGTATGACGAATTTTCACTGTTTGCTAACTATAATAGCAGACAGGATGATATGTGTTAAAGATAACCCTTCCTGCTAGTCACCACTCATACCTCCTGGACATTGGGAAGCTCGAGTAGCTCGGCGAACACAAAGACGCCCGGCGCAGAAGTGGCATCTTGCACAAGCTTGGCTGCAGCAGCACCTTTTGCTGCCTTGGACATCAGCAAGAACGGCTCAAGTTTGGCTGCATGGTTAAAACCGAGTTCCATGGTAGCTTAGCGTAGGACTGTGGAGGTTGTTGAGCGCGCGTACAGCCGCCCGGGACATAGAGGCCTGTGGCGGTATGTCAGGCCGGGTTGTTGAACGGTGTTTGTAGAGAGATGTCGATGCTCCGCGAGCCTCGATTAGTTGATTGTGCGCTTGCTAGAGTCACAGAATAGAGAAACCAGAGGATTTTTATCCGGAATATATTCGTAGTCTACAATTTACCACACAGTGTATATTAATTGTACAATTTTAGCTACGCCTAGCGTCAGTCCAAGGTAGGCCTGAGGTTTTGAAGGCCAGTCAGGCATTGACTCTGATCCAGTCAATATGACTCATCATTACCGAATTGAAATGCAACATTTACGACCTTGAGCCTCAAGGATGGACTCTTAGGTGCCGGGACACCAGACCCGAGTAAGACAAGATATATATCATAATCCTCCATCACATGGATATCTGATCTAGTATTCTATGCGCCTACGGAATCTGCAGCGACAGATTCGTCAGTAGCTGCATTGCATCTGCACGATACGTGTCCACTGTGGTCTCAATCAATGGCGTCGGATCAACAAAGGTCAAGAGGGGCGGAGAAGAGGGGTCAGAGCCCCACTGGTCCCACGTATAAAGAGACAGCAGGCTGAGAGCCGCTCCTGGTAGATTGGGCGGTGTGTTCGGGTTTAGAGTATTGGCAAAATTGACTGTAGGACAGAAATGAAACGTCAGTTTTCAGTTTGTATTCTACCCAAGTTTCACTGACTGATTGCGTCGACTCCAATATAATCAATGGGGGTGAAGAACTCGAGCAGATCAGAAGCGTGGAAACTGCCTAGGAATGGGGTCGCCTTGCCACGCTTGTACACTGTATCCAATTGTCGGATTTGTTCATTGTGCAAGGTCAGAAAAGCGCTAATAAACTCACAATATCCCCAGGTGTCTTGAGTCTTGGACATCACCTCGAGCATATACCGTCGGGGAGCTTGGAACATCCAATCGCCTTGAAATGCTGCAAGTCGCTTAAATTGGGGCCTGAACCTGATACCTGAGAATACACCGATGAACTAGTGTGAATCACCCACGTCAAGGCGTTGAGATCACCGGTACCAAAAGGAGACCCCTGCGGCACTCATATTCTAGCAGTTCGAATGCCTTGTAAAAACTAACAACGCACGTCGCTAGGGTTCGAGGGATAGACGTCCCCAACGCGTGAGATGTCTGCATTTGAGGCCCCAAGGACATAGCTGCGAAAAGTCAGTCCGTTGTAGTACATTAAGTAATTCGGCCCACTTCTCTTGTATGTACGCAAGAAACTCATCATCAGTGCTGCAGGGTCAAGTTACTGATGATTGAAGTGACTGCAGAATGCAAAACACGGACGTGATATTCAACATGCCGAATGAAAACAGCGTGCCTTCATCGTCGCAGTCTCCGGCAATGATCGGCACCTGTCATCAAAAATTGTCAGCACAGAAGGCCCACAGGTCACAAAACGACGGGCATTACCCTAGCATATATTCCCTGCTCTACGTACCGCTGCCCATTCTGAATGATAAGGGTGCCATCGATACGCGGCTCCCATGCAAGACTCAAGCCAGTATAACTGAACGCGGTGGGGGTCAATGCGATGGCCACTTGCAATAGTTCGTAGTCTGCATAGCGTAAACAGTCCAACGTATCTGGAGAATTAGCACAGCCAGTGGATTGCACGAGCTGATCATAGAATGGCTGCCCCTCGGAGACGGTGTGAAGAGCGACTGGGAAACCAGATTCCTTTCAAGGGGACGTCAACGAGTGACAACATGTGATGTACACTAGCCTCACCATAATTGCTCCTCGGAACAAACCAGCGGGGTCACCGTTATTCCAAATGATATGAGCAGCCACCGAATAGGCACCAGCGCTCTCACCCCATCTACGAACGTTTGTCAGTCAGATCCTTCGAGTCAACACAAAACGTCGAGAGATCACGCACATGATTACTTTGCTTGGATCACCCCCGAAGGCGGAGATGTATTGGTTCACCCATTCCATCGCCAACCTCTCTTTTTGAGTATAAGAACGTGAATGCGAGTACGAACTATAATCACCGTGACCGACTTACGATCTCGCAAGCCGACGTTAGTCAGTCCAGCTTCTTCCACTTCTTGACTGGCCAGGAAGCCGAAAGCTAGATGCTATTCTGTCAGAGTATGAGATGTCCATCAGTTGTTGATTCATACCATTCATGCGGTAATTGTGGGAGACAAATATGACTGGTTCACCCAAGGCGATGGAGCGTTCAACGTAAAGACTCCCATCGTAACCTGTCGCGGAACCAATCTCAAATCCACCTATTGCGAAACTGAGCAAGAGTGGATATCAAAAAGAGAACTGAACATACCTCCATAAATCCACTGGTCGGTATTCATTTTAGCATCAAATATGTTATTAAATTGTTGGGTCACCGAGCACTTACAAAGATGACCGGGAGATTGTCCTCCGGAGTTGCGCCCGCAGGCGCCCAGACATTAGCATATAGGCCTGCATGTATTGGAAACTAAAACAGGAATACTCTCACGAGAGACAACACTTACAGTCTTCAGAGATGAGATCCAAGACTGGCAATGAGAAGTTACTCGGCAGCTCTTCCGGTAGGACAATCAGCTGCTGGGGGCAAGATGGTCCAAAGCTGGTCGCTTGCTGAATCCCTTCGAGAGGGTCTGGGGGCTCCGGTAACCCAAACCGCAGTGCTCCTATCCTGCACAATCAAATATATCAGCGAAATCTTCAAAGTAAACTCATGGATGAGAGAAACTAACGGTGGTTTGGCGAACGGAATGCCGAGGAACTGGGAGACACCGCCTGATGTCAATCCTTGGAACGCACCGTAGGTGATGTTAACGATAGGGCCAGCGGCAGTGTCTCGTGCGCCCATCGGGACACCGAGCACTGGGACCAAAAGCAACGCGGAAGCTACACCGATCAGCGACGAGAGAGTCATTCTCATTGAGTTGTTACAGTTTAGATGTGATTGGAGACACACTCTGCAATGTGTTCAAGCATCGCTTTATATACCTCGAGCCAGAGCCTGAGCCTGGATACCGGTTCAACCTCGAGCAAAGTTCACTGGCGGTCGCTCGACGTACGTCAAGGTACGTGTGGCACTGTCATGAGAACACGAACCTCTGCAAGTATCATTCACAGGAGAGTGTGAGTTGTCGAAGAATGGAGCTTGAACCATTAGAGCCATGAATGGGCATCGAATCGAGTGAAATAAGTATCTCTAGCGTTCATTTCAGGGCATTCCAGGCAACAATCTGACGTTCCGTCAATGTCCTGCACTTTTCCAACAATATATGGATTAGACATCGTAATAGCACAGCGATAGATCACCAAAAACTCACTTCATTGGGTGTGTTTAGTGCACGATTGCGACGAACGCGAATTCGGCATGGACGATGGACGCACCCGCCACCAATATTGGACAAGCGCGCACTCATCTGCAGCCACACTGGCGCTTCACGTGTTTGCTCTCGATCTTGTGCGCCCATTCTCGCACTACGTTCCAGTGATTCCACTCACACCCTGATTCCATACCATGACTGCTGTGTACGAGTCACTTGTACTAAAGCTTGCTGCCGTCTTAGAACTCGCGCAGCAATCTGAGGCAGCACTGACTCCGCAATCGAGACAGGCCCTCATCCAAGCGGTGCGTCGTCGCGCCCGCACCCGCACTGAAGCGCGTCCTATATAACATCACAGACGAACGACTTCAAGGAGAGCCTGAGACAGGCGCGGGAGCTGGCGGACGCGCTGCCTGGTGGAGAGCTCTCCGTGGAAGAACAAGACGACGTGATCGAGATGCTGGAGCAGCTGAAGGCGAGGAAAAGGTGCGTCCTGCGTGGGCGCGACATTTCTTGCTGAAATATGTATACGCATGATGCAGGAAGCAGCTGGACGATTTCTCGGCGAGTGTGGATGCGATCTCTGCCGAGGACAGCGTGAATATGGAGATAGACTCGACGGCGTCCACACCGTCTTGAACCTGAACGTCTGAACATCGAACTATCGCATGATCGACTGAATGGTTCGCTGATCGTCACGTTGCGCCTCCACGTCTGGTCTCGTTCAATATTGGCCTTTGTACGGCAGACTTGTCCAAGCTCTGACCGAATCATGGTTCCCCAATCTGTCAGCCGTCGGTTCCAATCTTTCCTCTGCTCCGACGACGACCTCAGCTCTGTTTTTCCTTGCAAGCCTTGACGGTACACGCGTAGGGCCGGCCCCGCACCTTCCACTCTTTTTATTCTGTCGTATTGCACATGCGTCACATCATGTGCGGGTGTATGCGCGCTCTCCTGCTCGTCACTTTATTGTCCTTTGTGTCCGCCCAGAACGTCACCTGGATGAGTCCGTCCGCGGGCGACGTGTACGCGTCTGGCGACATGATCGCTGGGCGTTGGAGCGTGGACGGCACACAGGAGTACTCGTCGCCTTCGTTTCGCCTTTGTCCACCAGATGCCGAGCAAGCAAGTGGAGGCTGTGGGGCAGCGGTGTGGCCAACGGTGGAACAGGATGGGGGATCGTATCTAATTTATATGTGCGGCATGTTGTTCAACATTGGTCGCGAGTTACTGAGTGCATCGTGCAGGTCGTTGCCAGATGTGTCTGACAGTACGCAGTTCGTCCTCCAGATGGCCGGAACTACAGGCGAGACGAGCGAATCGCCCGCGTTTTCGCTAGTCCGTGCGTACGCGTCATATTCCGTCTGTGGTGTGAACTCATGCGTGTTGTCTTCAGCTGTCAACAGTAGAGCCTCGCCCGGTTCAACAAAAGTGACGACCAACACGACCCACTCGCCTCCTGATTCCCTCGCGTCTCCATCCCTACCCTCGTCCAACTCTTCCGCCACACCGCTCCCAAACTACGCCGAGACAACGATGCCCGCACCGACCGCCGCGTACGCTGTTCCTCTCGCGCTTGTCGGGTCTGTCATCGTCGCGGCTACCGGCCTGTGCGTGCACCAGCGTCGGAAGCTCGCGCGGGAGCGCACGAACGAGAAAGAAGGCCTCTCGCGGCGGTCAAGCGTGACGATCGAGGCGGGTACAGGGCGATACACGCGCTTTCCGGGGCTCCGGCGCGGCGGGGGGACCCTCAGGAGCGTGTTTAGGTACGGGCGCGGGTGCCACGACGACGACAGAGACAGCTCGTCGGGGTCATCCCGCGCGTGCTCCGACGTGGACGACCGGGTGTCGCTGTACTCGGTCGCGTCGGTGAGGCGGCAGCCGATGGTG